TCCACCTGCCAGAGCATCCACCAGTTGGAATCCGCATCGCGGAAGGCTTGTTTGTCTAGCATCATAAGAGCCTTCAGAAACCTTTTGCCCTCAGAAACCCTTGCCGGTGACATAGCTGTGCTGACCCTGCCCCTCATAGACCATTGCCCGTCCCCACTTGTGGATCACCCTCTTCTTCTTGGCCTGTTCCCAGCATCTCCGATTCATCACCATCAACGGCAACAACCGCCGAAAACCCATCCAAGTGAGCATGACCTCCAGGTAGCTGTGGTGCGTGTCCATGAGGTAGAACGGTCTCCTCCATCTGCAGACCATTGACATCCACATTCAAGCCCAGAACCCGCAAACCCTCCATGGGCATGTCCCCGACAGCTTGCCAATTAACAAGGTGCTCCATCATCGGCTTGGCCACGCCAATCCCTTCAGTAGCCATAACCTCAAAGATCCGAAGCCATTCTGTGCCAAGGAGCTCCCTGACCGTGTCCGTCACTTCTCCGGACTGCCATCGGACAAACATTTCCCAGAGCGCTTCCACCGGAACCAGGTAGACTCGTGGGAGAAGATCACCATCATCGATGCGCGGTCGAGCTGAGAGTGGGTCCGGGTTCATCTCCATATCCAGGAGGTCGGACAGATAGCACCAGATCCCACTGAGCCCCCACGTCCGCCATTGCCGAAAGAGCTTCAGCCACCTGTGTCCATAATGGCAAACAACCTCCCCATCCGTCTTGACTCGACAACGCCATTGCTCGTAGATGTTCTCAAAGAAGCCAAAACCCAAACGGGGCCGTCCTGGACAGCCTAAACCAGGAACCACTGCCGGGACTGAGTCACTTTGCTGTGCAGTCCGCCCACTCTCTGCGGCACCGATCTCCAAGGAGGACAGCAAGGGGTCCGGCTTGTCAATTTCCATCTCCAGCGCATACTGGGCCTCCAGTAGCTCCACCGTCTCTTGCCCATATTCGGAAGCAACCTCCAAAAGCGAAGTGGCCCCCGACCTCCATTGCGCATACAGCCTGGCATAGGCCTCAAAGTCTCCAACCGCTGCGCCCACACCAATGGGCCGATCGCCTCTCATGGCTAAGTCACCAGCCGACGCTGCCCCACCAGTCCCACCCTGCTGAGTCTGCTGCACCCGAACAGTGGGAACTTCACTCGGGGCGTCCTCCATGTTGGCGACCATCGTCAGAACCAGTGGCGTGCCATTCAGGGGAAGCTCCATCTCTAGCATGCGAGACGTCCTATGGCCTAACGCCCCTTGCGAGGTTCCCACAGAAGCCTGAAGGGCAACCAGGCAGCGACGCTTAGCAGATCTCGCCACAGCGCATGCACTGTCCTTCATCTGCTCGTCCTCCCAGGCCTGGTACGCCGCTGCCTCTCCTCGCAAGAACAACTGCTCCTGCTCCTCAAACTTCTGCATCTCTTCCTCCTCCTGAGTCGCCTTGTCCCGCTTCCACTGGCGTTCTTCTTCTTCATCACGCAGCAGCTGTTCCATGTCCCGAGCCTCTTCTTCCGCTTCCTTGGTCAGCTGCTTGGAATCCAAGGAGTCAACAAGCACTGTGGCAGTCTGCGTCATGCTGTAGCCAGGCAGGAATGCCGCAAGCTCCTTCGTCCAGCTGGCAAGCCAACCTGCATCCCCAGCAACATCTTCGCAACTGCTGCCCACACTGATATCCTCCCCCATGACCAGCAAGAGAGCCTGAAATTGTTCTTGCCACGACGACGGGGTTTGTGAGGATCCCATTGCCGGGAGCCCAGAGCGGAGCCGGAGAAGCATCCGCCCGCGCTTTGCTGGCATGAACCCTGAGAGCTCCTTCTGAAGACGCACCATTGCCCTCGCCCACCGCTGCGCCATCGAGTCCACTCCGCCGGTCGCAAAGAAGGTTTGCATGAGCGCCGGCTCATCATCCTCCTCAAGGTCCACAGCGTCCGCCGTGCCCTCCCTCGTTCTTGCCACCGCGTCTGCGACATCGAGTGTTTGGCTCAGCTCTGCCATCAAATATCGAAGTAGATGAACCAGCGCCAAAGTAGAGATTGCCCGATTGGTGGGTGGCATAGCTTCATGTGTGGCGGAGACCTCTCGCAACATGGGCCTCGGCAGGAAGGACAGAGGTATACGTCCTTCACCCTCACGCGGTCCCTGGAAAGCTCCCCTGTCAAAGAGCAGGTATTTCCAGAGCGTCACCGCCTGAGCGAGTGTCATGGGCTGAGTTACATCAAGCTGATTGGGCCTCAGCCGCACTGCCGTCGGTGCTGGATCCGTACTCCCCGATGCTCGCTCCGTGTCATTGGGTGCCACCTCCACCTCCACATACTCACTGGCACGACCAGTCCCTGCAGCAACCCCCGCGGAGCCACTGCCGCGGGTCATGGCTTCACTTCTGTAGGGAGTGGCACAGGAAAGCCTATCCGAACGGCCTCGGCCATCTCCTCGCCCATCTCGTACATCACCTCCGCGTGTGCGAACAGGTTCAGATCGACGAGGTTGACGGCGAGGGGATCGGGAGTCGCGGACACGGCGACGGCCATGTCGCCACCTGTTCTCCATCAGACTGACCGCATCTGCAGCACCGGTCCCTGCTGAAGGCACAGGAATGTCAATCCGAATGTCTCGATCATGCTGGTAGCCCTCATACAAGTGACCCTCAACCGCCCTGGCCCACTCAAAGAAACATCGTGGCGTCTCCGAAAGTTCCTCACCTTCGCTGTTGGGATACCCAGCACCGATAGTAGCCAACGGCCCCTCCACCCACTCTCGATAAGACCTGTCATCCCGACCTCTAGCCAAGCGACGTGCCATACAAACAGCCATGCCCACTGCCCGCCCTTCCTCAAACCATCGGCCAAGTTGCTCAATAAGGTCCGGCCATCTCATGCGGGGCGCGTCCTGGAACAGGGCGGTTTCATCACCTTCTTCTCGGGGTTCATGTGCTGGCCCGGGCACAACGCCCTCAATGGGCGTGCCCACGTTCGCTGGCATTGCCCGTCCGATTCCACCACCACGTTGACGCTGAGGTGTTCTAGACCTTGACAGCTGTCGCCGTTCTCTGTCTTCTTCTTCGAGCCCCCTGTGCGGCATTGTCACTGTGTACCCAAGGTTGCGCATGGCAACCTCATAAATCCGATTGCGCATAGCAACGGGACAGACCGACCACAGCCAGTGATGCCGTACCCGACCCACTGACCACTCCACCAGCTCCTCAAGTTCGTCCAAACCAGGCTCCCCCATGCCCTGGATGACGGGGTCGTCGAGAATCGGTGAGTACTCGAGCAAGCGACGCAAGAGGAGGTTGAACTGAGGCTCACACTCCATTGCAAACCTGTCATCCGCAATGTCATGGATGCAGTCCTGTACCATGTTGAGAAGAGGCCGACATTCAAATCCTCGATCTAAAGCCAGCTGAAGCCTCTCAACCACATCCTCAAACCAAGGTGGCACAGTATCCGGCGTCCATGCCTCATGGAAGCCCTTTGCACCAGGCACCACTACCATCATCCACGCGGGCACGGCGAACTCCAGCAGCCCTATCTCATCCGTCTCCTCCATTGCCCCTTCCACTTCAGACGCAGTAACGGAGGTACCCGAGCACGCCGCAGTCACGCTCGGCTGCGGCAATTCCTGGTTCCCATCTACCCCTTCAACCACAGCCACTTGAACAGGGCGGAACAAGCCATGCGGGATGGAAGACGGCTGGCCTGCCTCCGCAGGCCGAGGTATCCACACATCAGATGGCAAGGTCGTTATCGGGCTCCAGGTCGTGGGGAAGATCGACTCCCCAATCTCCACATAGTCCTGAAAGGCGGCATACTCCACCCTCGAAGCCCAACTCACCTCCGCTCTGGTAGCCGATCGCGTACATGACCCGTGATGCAGCTCCCGACCAAACTCTCGGCGAAGACCCCGCGCAAAAGTCCTGAACCATTGAAAATATCCCCGATCATCACGGAATTGCACCCTTCGCAGAACACAGAGCCACACTAAGTCTCCCCCTTGCCCTTGTAGTCGAAGCTGCCGAAGTTGTGCCACAGCCGAGGTGATCCATGCACAGTCCGGGGCAACAGTCTGGGAGCTGCTGTCCATCTGCACATTGGGACGGGCAGAAGAGCTGGCGGCCCCGGCCGTGGCATTCCCACTAGCGGGGACGAGGTGGGGGCATTCAGCCCGTTCAGGCAGGTCACAGCTTACTGGTTCATTCTCAAAGAGGTTATCATCCACCGGGCGCAGAATCATGTCGTTGAGGGGAGCGTCGGGATACTCGATCCGCACACCTGGTAGACATACAGCAGAATCGGCCCCGCCTGCAGGAGGAGAAGGATCCTCATCTTCAAGTGCAGCAGGAGGAGCAGATTGGTTATCTCCCAAGGCAACCGAGGCCGCCCCAGGAGTGGTTTCTGAGCTTGATTCCAAAAACGTAGAAGACGCTGCAAGGGCAGCGTTCGTTGAGGCTTGCGAATTTGAAGTCATCGAGTCCTCAGCTGTTGTAGACGTCACAGAGGAGGCCCACAGCGAAGACCGAGGTATGGAAGCCGGAGCTGCCAGCTGAGAAGGTCCGTCCTTAGGAGCGGCCCACAGCAGCGTCGCCATCAAGGCATAGGCGGCAGCCCAGAAGACATGGCGAGCCATGATCCTCCAAAGAGGCATATGTAGGCGAGAGTAAACCCCTGGGGAACTCGATCGCTAAAATCAGGCACGGATGCACCTTCACACTGCAGACCAAGTCAACAGAGGCACTCGCTGTACACTGCACTACCACATACCATACTCCCTCACTCTCTCACCTTACAGGTTAGGGGAGGGAAAAAACGGCTTCACAGTAGCGAATTATCGACGTGAAAACTAAATGTTACAAATTTCACAGGCTGACTCAGACGACCCGATGCTACAGGTCCCCGACCGAAAGTTGCCGCCCCGAGCTCCACGGCACATCCATAAGCGCGACCCACGCGTCCTCTCTGCCCCTCCAAGCACAGCGATCATGAGCAAGATTACGCCAGGGTGCCCCCGCAACCGAGTCGAGGTGCTGCTCCAAAAGCGTGAGCCGAGCATAATGATGACCCTTATGTCGAAGACCCCCTTGCTTGAGAGTTTGCTGGTGAGTCCACCACGGCAAGGTGCGAAAGAACTCAAAGTCACAGCTGATGGGTGGGAAGGGTGAGAGGACCGAGCGAACACGGTGCCCCGCATACCGCCAGTAGCGCCGTAGCCAAAGAGTAGACCAGCGTTCCAGACCAGCCGAATGCAGGGCAGACCTGGCCCCACGGAAAGCCCTCTGCCTGAACTCCCCCCAGCTCTCCGTAGACGCCTTGCTGAAACGGAGAAGCCACACCATTAGTTGGAGTTGCGTTGCATTCAGAGCAGTCATCGCAGCTTTGTCCGGAGGAACCGCACAGACATACCAAAGAGCAGTCGCTCCCACAACCCTCTGCATGACTCTGGCTCTGCTCTTCATGTGCCCCTTGGCCCTGAAGAGATGCTTGAGCTCCCAAAATTTTGCCCTGGCCCTGGAAACTGCTGGGGACACAACCTCGTAGATGGACATACCCACGCGAAGCGACAGGCCCATCACCTCCAACGTAGGCGATGCCTGAACCCTGACCCCGTTCAGCACAATTTCGTGCTTGCCCGTAACATGCGGGGACGCGTAGAGCTGGCATTTCTGAGGGTTCATCCTTAGGCCATATTTAGCAAACTCCACCGAGAGCGTTTGTGCGCGTGCTTGAACCACTGAGAGAAAGCCACTCCACAGCATGCCATCATCCATATAGAGCATCTCCTCCGGCGGTAAGTCCGGGTAAAGTGGAGTCATATTGCGCCAACCGTGCATAGAGACCGTGTCAGTCAGCACCAGTTCAGCAATATGCGCAAAGAACAACGGGGATTCTATACCACCCTGCTTAATCCCACGCCGCATTTCCACCTTCGAAGAGCCCCACGGCGTCTGAAGTAACCCTGTTGTGCCCCGGAGTAGCCCATGCCAACAGTTGAGCTCAGGTCCTTGACCAAGCTTCTCCTCCAGCTTTATCATGAGCATCTGACGGTCAAGGCTGTCGAAGGCCTTTTCCGAGTCAAGCTTGAAAACCACCAATGGGTTTCCCCATTCCCTCGTCAACTCAAACAACCGAATGATGCTAAATAAATAATCCGAAGTTTGTCGGCCCGGACCAGAACATTGAGCGTACGTGTGTGGCACGATCTTCGAGAGGGCCCGATTCAACAGCATGCGACTGAAAAGTTTAGACACAGCGCTGCCCATGGCGATTGGGCGAAGGTCACGTGCGCGTTTCGGGATCGTCATCTTGGGGAGCATCACAAGGACTGGCTCATTCCAACGACTAGGGATCGATTGCGTAGCCAGAATCCTGTTGTACCATTCCAGGAGGTGGGTCTCACCGCCTGGTACCTGAACAAGCCCTTGCAAAAGCTCAGTCGAGGTGAGATCCGCACCGACCGCCATACCCCTTTTGAGCTGTGTCAGTCCCAAGCGAAGCTCTTCCAGTGTGAAGGCACATACATCACCTTTCCACACCGGCGGGGGAGGAAGGTCATTCCCTGCATAGACCCCCTGGAGATGCTCATGAACTGTTTGATGAGGATCCTCGTCCTGTGCCTCCGCGAAACCAACATCCCACCCTTCCTGTCGACGTGGTTTAAGAGCCCTGAATGAGTGCCATTCTCCTTCGCTGGCCCGCACGAGGCGAGCATGTTCCCAGTGCAACCTTGCCTCCTTGCGAAGTTTGAGCGCCATCTTCCATTTCACCGATGTCCCCGAAAGCTTCGCTTCCTTGAAGGCCTGTTTGACAGCAACTGGATCCTTGTACCCCAACCCTGGTGCTGGTCTCGTGCATTGCTGGGCCAGCTGTTCAATGGTCTCCTGATTCATGTTCTCCACGACAGAGATCCCTCCTACCCATACCCTAGGACGAGTGTTGTGACGGGGAAAACTTCTGTGTGTCTTCTCTGCGAAAACAGCCCGACATAGTTCATGATCAGTGCCGATACTGAGGTAGGAGTCCACCACCATCCCCCACGATCGAAAACACATTCCACGATAGGCCATGATGTCAATGCACTGACCACTTTTGCCTGCTTGCCTCGGGCGGCTGGTGGGGACATGCACTTGATCCCGTCCTGGTGCACCAATGGCAAACCCCTCCTCCATCATTACCTTGTGAAGGACATTGCCCTTGCCCTCCTTGGCTACCGCGGAGACCTCGGCCCCTTCCAATGCCCACGAAAACCCTGTGTTCACGTCCCCTTGGAAAACCACTTGCAAGGCATCACGAGGTAGTCTAGAAAAATGATCGTGCACTTCCACCTCATACTGCGCCACAGGTGTCCCCGGAGTAAAGTGCGCCGTGCCGACCCATACCTCCATGCGAAACTCCAAATGCCGAAGCTTAAACCACGTACCACGACATGAGGAGACCTTGCGCAGAAGACACCATGCCCCTGCATCATACCACAAGCCAGTTCCACGCCATTGATCCGAAGCCCGATGCGACACAACCCTTCTTCCTGCTGCCATTTGATGACACCAACCCTCGCTCTCCCTCGGAACTTCCTGCAGCAATACTAACTCATCTTTTCCGAGGGGCCGCCTCAAGGAGTCCTGCACTGCCTTTGGCAAAGCAAGGAGATCAGCACCACCGATGTTCCAGCCCAGCATAGAAAGCTCCCTTGAAGAAGGCTTGGCCTCCCGAGAACACTGCCCACTTGCAGAGCCCGAGCAATCAGCAGCAAAAGAAGAGGATTGAACCCCTTCGTCGACGCTCACAGCTTGCGAACCCCTGGATAGTCAGAACTTGTGCTCCGACACTATGCCCTGCACTTGTTCCAAGGACGTCTCAACCCACCTGGCCAAAGTCTTCTCATCCAACCATCCATCACCTGCACGAGTCGGAATCACCTTAGCCTGCTTGAGTTCTGCCGGAGGTGTGCCCATCCCCGAGAGCTGATCGTCCCTGATCCACGCCCTGCCCGTGTGATACTCCACCTCGACGTCTCCCAATCGAGACGGATAGCACCTCTGGACCACTTTACGAACAATGGTAGCAAGGGATGCTCTTCCTCTCTCGGCTGGTGTTTTGCTGAAGGTCGCCCACAACGGCCGTGGCGCCCCCTCCAAAGTCACTTTGCTGGAGTTGACCACTTGTATGATCTGAAGCATCCGCTCTCTAGGCCCATTGGACTCCTCTCCCTGTCGGACCCGGAAAGGACATAAGGCGACTGACCTGCGTGCCCCCGTGCAGAATGGTTCAGCATCCAAGAGCTGAGAAAGCCCCAGCGCAGCCAGCGCCTGGCGCAGCTGCTCCAACAGCAGAGCACGTCGAGTGTCTTGCTCCCACCCTCCGAACACCAGCGTAAGGCGCCGATTTGGTCCCGTAGAGGCATCCGAAAACCCTTGAGGCCTCTGCTCCACTTGCATAAGCCTATCCGAGAGCGACTTGACTTGATCTTCCAGAGCAGAGTATTTGGACCCCTGCGCCTGCACCGTATGCTCCAACTTGTCTAGCCGACCATTCTGCCGTTCCTCGAAAGCTTGCAAAGTAGCCGACATCTGGTTTTGTTGTGCCTGAAGCAGACCAAGCGATTGCTCGGAAAGAAGAGCTCTCAGAGCCCCCATGGTCACATGTTCACCCCCTGCATCATGATCTCCGGCATTCTTGGCACGCTTAGCGGGACTGTCAGGTCGCACGTCCACATGACTTTTCGCAGTCGGACCCTCTGCTGCCCGAACCTCCAAATCAGGATCAAAGAAGTCCGGAACCCCTGGCATCGTCTGAGGCACGGGTATGCGAACCCCAGGAACTGCCATGTCGGCTACGGACTCAGCAAAGCCAAGGAAAGGCACTACGACCTCGCGGCGAATCGTGTAATCGAGCTCCTCGGCCCCCAGCGTAACCCTCCAGCAGAATCAGGTAAAAGAGCGACTGCACCCACAGACCAAGCTATGTTTGCAGAGAGCCTAAGGAGGAGCCTCGGGGGGGTCACACGAGGACACACGTCGAGCCTAGGGCTGGGTTCGGTTTGGGGTTCAGGGCCTGGAGTTCAGGGTTTGAGCGTTTGGGTGGAAGCTTCAGGGTTTAGGGCAGTCGACTCTACGCAAAGAGCCGAGGGTGCTGCGCAGGCATCGGGGCAGCAGCTTGCTCCTCCTGACACTTTACAATTGCATGATGGTGGTTCTGTTGCTGCGGCTTGTGCTCCACTTGTAACTCGCTCTATGAATGATCTTGCTTCTGCCGTGGCAGCAGGTGCTGCTTCTGAGGCCGTTTCTATTGTGGTTGGTGGTGTCACTACTGCTGCTGCTGCTTCCTTATCTGCTGCCGTTGCTGTTGAGCGGTTTGAGGATCCCCAGCCCCGCCGAAGCCCAATTCCACAAGACTCAGGAGCAATGCCCCTAAACTCAACTGGACCCCTAATGCCTTAACGCATACACCAAACTGCATATGCCCTCTTGCCCTCCGCTGCTGTTCCGAACCATCCAGCTCCCTTGAATCCTCAGTACTCAGGTTCCCACACTACGCGACGCCCCAGCATCCCCTCCTTGGGTGCCGCAAAGCCCCTTGCTCAGGCATTTAGGGGTTCAGGGTCGAGGACCCCCCTAAACCCTAAACCCCTAAACCCTAAACCCTAAACACCCCGAAAAACCGCCCTAAAGCCCCGAGTCTCCTCAGCCTCAGCTCGTCGCTGGTCCACAAACATTCCGAGGCAAAGGGCAAACGTGTCCCGAGCCTCAAGAAAGGCGAGAAGCAAAGCTACGGTTTAGGGTTTAGGGTTTAGGAACATGTGTAGTATGTTTTGGGGATTGTGGGTTTTCCGTGTTCGTGGGCCCGTAGGATTGCTAGGATGCTTGACAGTCTTGGTCTGTTAGGTGCTTGCGGCTATGGGGCTGAGCTCTCCATTCGGCCACCGGCCTTCCTGACCTGCGTGAAACTTCTCTTAAACACAGCTGCGCTCAACTACATCATGTGCCGTGTACATTTTGCCCCAGTCTAGTACGTATGTTGTGCCTGCCGTGTTGTCTTTCTCATGTTTACATGATCGGAGGCCTCGAGCCGACAACGTCGTGTTCCAAACTTCCCAAGATGAGTCTGCGACTGCTTGGACAGTGAGCCTGCGGCAAGACGGGAGACGGCGAAGTAAGCAAAACCACCTGTATCCAGCTCACTTGCCAAGGGACCTCATCATCCTCAAACTGGAAGGCATACAGTGTTTGCTCCTTGGCTTGTGACTGCTCGACTAGGTGATCAGGGACGCAGGCGGAAATGCAAGACGGCCGAAAGCGACCCAGAGCACCGCAGAGCAAAACCAGACGTTGCAGTCGCGGGTACGGTTGGCGTACTGTACGGAGCATAACCCAGCACCGACAGCCTAGCCATGCAAACAGGCAAGCATCCACGCAGCCGCAGACGGCCCTTCTAAAACGTTGCTTCTTCGGTATATACTGAACTATGCATGGAAGGTTCAAATCCCAAATGTACCCATGTACCCACAGACCCGAACCTGTGCGGGTCAAGCGTCGTCATCCAGTCTCAGGGTGACACAGAAATCGTCCAAGGGCAATCCGACTTCCTCAGGGGTTGGTGATGGTTTTGGTGGAGCCTGGTCAGCTGACACCTGCAATTTCTGCATCTGTTGTAAAATACTTCGATTTCGAGTATGCGTACCTGGAACTTGCTGCTGTGTTGTTGCTCTGACCGCAGGCTACCGTCTTGATCTTGTCGTGCTTATCGTCCAGATAGTTGCGATGATGTCTGGATGACGATGATGTTGAGGGTTTTGATGACAATTTTTAATTTTGTTACTGATGGTGATGATGCTGCTGATGGTGCTGATGATGATGATGGTGATGATGGCGGTGATGATGATCATGGTGGAGATGGTGACGGTGATGATGATGATGATGATGATGATGATGATGATGATGGCGTTGATGATGATGAGGATGACGGATGATGGATGACGGTGGCGATGATGGCGATGATGATGACGACGATGATGACGACGATCATGACGACGATGATGTCGATGCTGATGACGGTGCTGATGACACGATGACTATGGATGGCGATGCCTGCAGCGATTGCGGTTTCGTAAACAAGGCGTTGAATCTGGGCAAGAGTCCTCCACGTTCTCCGCGCCGACGGAAATCCTTCGAAACAACAAGGCAGACTTGTAGTCAAGGTTCGATCCTCGACTCTGTCGCCGAACTTGGAGTTCAAGTGACATACCAAAAAAGTGCCATACCTCTGATAACAGTAATCTTCATCATCATCATCATCATCATCATGATCATCATCATCGTGGTAGCATGCGCCTAGCATTGCGATGCCTCACGTGCTCCGAGCATCTGAGAAATGGTTTCCAAGCGAACTCGGCGGGCTTGCCCAGATTGGGGACGGATAGACCTGAGTGCACAGACAGGCCTGCCGCACATAATATAGCGGCCTTAATAATTAGAGAAGGGTTTTGGGGTATATCTTACTATAACTATATTTATAAAAAGGACCCCCCCCCCCCCCAATATAGTATTTGGTAATTATTTCGGCCCCTAAGTAGACCTGCAAAGCGATGAATTGCGCCCTCGGGTCTGAGAGCGAAGGCAGCCTAATATAGGGGCGGTAATATTACCTATACTATTTTTTTTTTGGGGGGGTGTCCTTATTATATATACATATATATATATATATAGTACAATACACCCCCAAAACCCTATTTTGGAGGTTCCTTATTATAAATATAGTACAACATACCCCCAAAACCCTACGATGAAGGCCCCTACATTACCATCCAACTGTGACTGCGGCAACTCTCTCTCTGCTGCCCATGTCCCAGTTTTTCAACTGTCCAAAGCCGATCAAACTCTAAAACGCTAATGTAGGGGCCTTAATAATTAGAATAGGGTTTTGGTGTGTGTGTGTGTATATGTATATATATATATATATACATATATTATACTATAATTATAACACAGCATTCGTAATTACTTAGGCCCCTAGATTACACGCCCTAATACCGGAGCCTTACGTCTTAGAACGTGGCTTTGGGGCTACATTATCCCACCGTACTAAGGAACCCCACGGCGCAGCAGATTCGACCCCCAGGTTTGATGGGGTTTGGGTCTAGGGTTTAGGGTTTAGGGGTTTCGGGGTTTCGGGTTTTCGGGGTTTAGGGTTTAGGGTTTAGGGGTTTGGCGCAAAGCCATGCCATGCAAGTGGCAAGGCAGTCTTGGCGAGATCCATCCTCAGGAGCTTAGGAAGAGCCAGGGTTTAGGGGTTTAGGGGTTTCAGGGTTTAGGGTTTAGGGGTTTCGGGGTTCAGGGCGTAGGGTTTATGGGTGCAGGTTCCAGTCAGTATAATCTCTTGAGTAAGAGTA